TTCAAATAGAGTAAGACAAGCAAGGTGGACAAGTATTATTCGTCACAGGCTTTAGTTTCTTGATAGCATTTTGTTCTTGCTACCCAAGTCACAAGCCTAGACATCCTTGATTCCTCCAGCCCTGTCAAAATGAGATGTCTCTGCCTCTTCCAAAATAGAGGAGGGGCCATTTTTTCCTCCTCTCCCATTACACTCTGTGGTTGAAAGGGAGAAGCCCAGGAGGTGCAGTCCGTGCTGGGGAAGGGGCAGCGGGCTGTCCTCGCCTGTGCAGGGATTCGCCTCTTCTTCTGTGGGAGCGACACCGTCAGATCTGCCCCCACAACAGAACCTGAGAGCATCAGCTGCAGAGCCACCAGTGCCATTTTAGCCTTAAAAGTGCCCTTCAAAGGGCAGGGCACTGGGCCCCTACTGGGCCGGGCAGGCATGCGGAGTGGGGCTGAGCCTCCAGTACAGTGTTAGTTACTTGACTTAGATGCTTAAATAAGAAAGCTGGTGATCTCACAGCTGTTCCCTCTGCCCCTTGTTATGGATGTATGCACACATTCTGAGTAGCTGCAGGACACATTTCTAGCTTAGTGTGTTTTTCTTTGTGGCTGAATTGTAGTTGTTGTGAAAATCTTTGCATTTCAATTTTTACCATTAGTGTTTCAGTTACTACAGTTAGTTGCATTTCATTTTTGTTTATCCATAAAACTTGTTTGTTGCTATTTTTTTGGAGGGAGTAACTGAAATACTTGTGCATTTAAGAGATATATCTTTAAAACCAGACTGTCCTAATGCTTCAAAATGAGGTATGTCTCACCCAGGGATAATTTTTTTAATATATATTGTACTTTGGGATTCACAGCTTAAATTAACTTTTGCTGATTTGAATTTGCTAGACGTCTAATGCAGATAGGAATTAGAATTACCAGGTGCCAACTACAACAAAACACAGAGGATAATCTAACGGCTGATCCTCAGGTGAAGGACATTATATTAGTTTTGTGTAGTCCTCAAAGTGTAACAGCCCTGTATTAGCCTCAGATCTGCACATTTAAAAATAAAAAATGAATAGCAATATACAGTGCAGAGAGCACATTAAAATATTATAAAATTGTCATTTTAATTTGAAGTGATATTGACAGATTCGAGGCTTTCTGCTGGTGATGACAAATTAAGGTCAAGCTTTTTGTTAAGGTAAATAATGACAAGAAAAATGGCAGTTTCTTTTCCTCAAATCTGTAAAGCATTGTCAAAAGAGATGTGAAAGGGTACCAGGACAAGCTAAATGTCCAGCTCCTCTCTATGCCTTTGACAATCTTCCCTGACACTAATGTTTAGTTTTTTGTTTTCTTAAAAAAGATTCACAATCTTAATGTGAATTGACATTACTGTGGAAACAAACAGGTAAGCTTTTAATTTCTCTTTTAGTCATCTTATTTTAGTACTTTATCATCAGGATTTATGCTTCAATGGCATTTAGGATGTGACATGGAGATTTGAGTGATGTCAAATAGCAGATTGACCCTAATAAAATGTTAAGCAGAGCTTAAATGCATATATAGAGAAGGCTGAATAAAACAAGAGATGAAAATAATTTAGTGAAGCCTCCTTCAGAATAAAAGCAGCTGTATTCATTTGATCTGCCTCAAAATAGTCTGATAAATATGATAATTTTTTATTTTCATTGCAAAATTAGAGTTTTTAATGAGAAGTTATTAAGCATCTGTTTCTCAAGTATTTAAGTAAAACTGCTTACAAAATAATTTCATTTACCTTGAGTTTTCATACCTAAATATTAAGTTACAGAGAAACAAGAATAAAAATCCTAAATCATTTGTATTACAAATAATGATTTTTAAAACAGCACGACAGTTTTAACCTTTTATCTATACATTTACATCTGAATTGTAAAAACCTGCTTCCAAAGTATTGCAAGCGAATGGCAAAGAAAACAGCTTTTTTTAATTCAGCGTTTCAACCCAGTGCAGGAGCCTGGACACCAGCGAGTACTCACAGAAGCTGCAGTACAGGCAGTTAGCATAATTTTGCTGGAATTACGCTGTATTTACAGACTTCGACACTGGTGGGTGCTAACATTTTATTCCCCTGTGCGAGGAGTGCATCCAGTCACTTCCAACAGTGCTGCTGGGGCTGCGCAGCCTCCGCTCCAGCACCAGTGAAGTCGGGCTTCGGTTTTGTTCCCTTTGGTTTTTAAGCAAAGAGAGAAAAATAGAAGCAAAAACAGGTTTTTTACCTTGCGCGCTGTCTGTTGTGGGGCTTGTGTTCAGCTGCGTCTCAGTCGCAGAACACCTGCCGTTCTCTTCTGCTGCTAATTGTGTGACAGGCTCATATCGCAATATGGCATCCAGGTCATGGAAAAACTTCATGGTTTTAGTGACATCCCCAGAGTTGTGGGCATATTTAACCGTTCTGTATTCGTACTTCAGGTTTTTGTACTTTGCACGGCACTGTTTCCAGTCCCTGCACACTCCCAACTCCTGTAACCTTTTAGCAATGTAGATAAATATTCCTTTATTCCTCAGGGTGCCGTGCAGTTGCTTTCTGATATTTTTTTCTGACCAGACGCTTAACAAGGCTTTAACCTCCTCCTCAGTCCAATGCTTCCCCGCTCCACTCTCCATGTTGAAAGTGACCTGGAAATGATTCACTATTTCTAGCCAAGATTTTGTTTCCTAGGAAACCAGACGGCTGGTTTGTCAGTAAGCTCCGCCGAGATGAAAGGATCTGGTTTTACTGGCTCAAGCTGCCGGAGGGGAGTAACTTGAGACACTGCCAAATAAGCAGGCTCGGCGCTGGAGCCCTGCGAGGGAAGCGGCTCCGGCCACGGGGAGGGGAGACCTCAGCCGGGCCGGGGATGCTTTAACCCTTCTTGGGGACGAGGGCGTCAGTGCGGGCACCGGGGTGTGGGGAGAGAGGCTAAAAAAAAAAAAAGAAAAAAAAAAAGAAAACAGAGTCATGCTATTTCGTTCCTTTAAGAAAAACAAACAAACAAACGAAAACAAAGCAACATGACACCCAGCCACCCCCACACACACTCTCCTGGCCTGCCCTTTGCCGGGTGGGCGTAGAGCATCTCCTGCTCCCGTGGGGGCACGGCCACCGTGCTGAGCCTTCCCCCAGGCAAGTGGCATGTCAGGATCACCCTGCCTGACATCTTCACATCTCCACGCACTCTTTGCTTTTGAACTGATGGCCATATATACACGGTTTTCAACTTATATTGGTGGTGTTTTAATAAAAAGCTGGCGTACTTAAAAGTCTGGCTCAGCTGGCAATGTACGCTTTGCAGCAATGACACTGAGCTCCCGTGTCTTTTGTGAGTGCGACATGTAAGGTGTAACCCAGCACCTTGACCAGGGCCTTCTTTGGCGTGTCTGCTTCCCTCTTTCTCCCTATTGATTTTGTTAATATTTAAAGAGACCATGACAGTATTAAATAGGAATTTGTCTGTAATATTAACATTGTGACTACAAGTTGCTCAATGCAGTGTTATCAACCCTTAAGTTTTACCATCAGTCTTTGTGTTTATAGACAGGACATCTTCCCAAGTTAAATTAAATGGCTTTAAGAATGTTCTCATCTCTGATTTTTTTCTTTGAAGATCTATGTCACACTAACAGGGTAAATTTGTTCAGATGTATGTGAGTTTTGGTTTGTTTTGCTTTCTCTGAGCAAATGTTCTTTAAAATGTTTGCTTTACATACAACTGGGACTAATAACAAAGGGATTTTAGGAACTGGAGAAAATTGCTAATGAGCATGGTCAGTTGTAGATTAGCATCCATCCATTCTGTAGATTTTTTTGTGGCCAATTTTATAGTTGCTTATAGTAAATAATTCCAGTGACTTCAATTGTGTTAAACTAAAATAGGATCTTTGAATAATATTCTAAAAATATTTCAAGTCTTTCCTTTTTTAAGAAATACATCTTTCCTTTTCAGATATTCTTATATATAAGAGTGGATGGGAACTCAGTAGTCCACCAAAGTTCTGATGAGTATTAGAGGCACAGCAGGTACGCAGCAGCAGTTTTATTAGAGGCAACACTCTGCCTTATTCAAGAAGCCTTTTAAAGGGAGATGGAACAGCCTGAACTGTTACCCACAAAAAAAAATCCAGCCTGCAAAGCAAACATTTTCGATGGATAAGGACTGAATTCCAAACCATGGGCAGTTGCACAGAGTTCTGCCTGCCTTCGGCAGGACAGCATCAGGGCAGCTGGAGTGCACCCAGGGGACCCAGCGTGGAGAAAGGCTGGCAAGGACAGGAAGCAAAACAGGGAAAACTCCCTTATTTCAGCTGAATCAGCTCTTCTGCTCAACAAAGCACAACTGCCAGCCTGAGGCTGATGTGCTGTAAGAGAAGTATTTCTATTTGCAGTAACGCTTGTACATGAGACTTGTTTTGCTTGAGAAGTGGAGATGCCCAACATTAGGTTTATGCAGTCAAACACTTTTATCAGAGGGTCTGTGTAGCTTTTCGAGGTGTAAAAGCTAGCTTGTCTGCTGAAGTGCAAAAATGCAAAAGCTTCTGCATAGGTGATCAGTGGAAAAGATAAACCATTCCCATAGGCAAAACCATCAGTTTTTAATAACATCTCCCAACCCAAAGCAGAAATAGAATAGCACTATAGAGCATCCTACTATCACCTGTCCCACTGATAGACCACTATCCCTCTGAAAATGGCTTTTCACATTCAGCATCTGTTTTTATTTTATGCCCTCACTGAAACAGGATTGCAGCAAGAGCCTGCACTAGTGCTTATTAGTGGAAAGATTCCCACTGAATTCAGTGGGCTTAGGCAGAAACCTTACGTGACCGTTTTGAAACAAAGCATAACACAGGCAAGAAGCACATTGCAATTACACATCTGCAAAATAAAACAACAAATAAGCCTACATTAAATTTCATGACAAAACACCAATGCATTGTATGTTAAAGTATTTCATATTCTAAGCATTTCAGTGTTTTATGTTAATTTTATTTTGTTCACAGGGGCCAGGAGAGTGCTGGAATTGTGACAAGTGATGGAGAGTCATCCCAGTCATTCAAAGTGCACAAGGTAAAATGCAAATGAATGTTTTGTACATTTTTTTAACAGAGATGTGTGAAAGTTTGTTTCTGCTAAGAAACAGTATAATTAAAGAAAAAGTAATATGTTTTGATGGATTGTTTTGGTTTTGTCAGTTAGAGTACCTAATTTTGTTACTTGTGTAATTTCTGTCTTGAGTGTATGCTTAAAACAAACATGCCACCATTGTCCTGCTGGCTGTATCTGTGCATACAGTGGCAGACACTCAGAAGTTATCCAGATCATGCTACTGATGTTTGAAAAACTACTTACCAAAGTCACCCTGCATCTCAACTGTTAACTCTGCAGATTTGGAAAAGTACTGATGCAACTTGATCTCAAGAGAAAAGAAATGCAGTTAAAGGTTTTGCACAAGGAAATGGATGAGTAAATCTTATGTTAGCGAGACTCAAGGAAGTGGCAACTACTTTACCCATAGGTAAAAATAAACAGAATATAAGACTGAATGGAGGCCTGAGAAAGTCACACAGTCTTTCTCAAGCTGAGAGAATCCCAGGGGATGTTACAGGACACAAAATGACCACAGCCTCTAAAGTATTATGTTATGCTCTGGGGATATTTCTGTTCATTCTGTATAAAATGTGATCAGGAAAAAAATAATCTCCACCTTACTCCATCCCAGAAAAGGAGAGGATTGGAAATAAAAATACATCAGCAAAAAAACATGGGGCACTTTTTGATGTATATCCTCTGACCACAATCAGAAAGCATTCAGAGTTCTCAGAGAAACATTAATTAAGCTGTTCAGATCAGTCCAAGACTAAGGACCACTCTGCTGCAGCAGCATATGTATCTATACATGACTGCTCAATGCCTCATACAAATCCTTTTCTCTGAAACGTCATGTTTATCCCCTCTTCAGGCACTTCCGCCCTCCTAGCTGTTATTTACAGCCTGATTCACACACACACACACACGCTTTTAAATGCACCTTCTCTCAACTTTAGCAGCATGTTATCTGTTCTTCATTCCTGCTTCTGCTTGAGCTTCAGTTTTCCTACAGGTTTACAGGAATTTCAGCTTCCTGTAAAGTGGGCTGCTCTAGAAATCCCATAGTAAAAAGTGCTTCTCAGAATGAATTTCCACTAGGTGATATAATAATTTGCAGTATCTCCATGTTACTGAGCTACAATACTTAGCTGTCATGCTAAGAATTTAATTGACTATCCATCTTTTATCCTTGAAATGTATTTCTCAGCTACAACACTTTTAAAAACTAATAACCACAGTGTATTAAAGAACCTGTGCAGCACAATTTATATGACCTGGTTAATCCTGGAAGAGGTACTAACATAACAAACATTTGTGTCTGTTACACTGGTGAAAGCATATTTAGGACTCTGACTTGTAAAGTAGTACAGAAAATATCAGCAGTTAAGATGCTACTGTACCTGTTTGTTCTCCAAACCCACTTGACTCTTCTTCATAGCAAACAGAATGCAAAAAGTGCTCTCTTCTCACTGCATCAACTTACTCACCTTTGTCAACAGTTTAAGGCAATACCTATATTAGAGTATGAACTGGACCATCTAAGGTATGGGTACATGTTCCCTTCTGATTGTGGTCAGCCTTTGACCGTGGATTAATAGCCCTTGACAAAGGCTTTGTTTTAAAATCTCCCAGAAAGACATGTCCAGATTTGTCTGTGGAAGCCTTTCAGCTAGACTCATACAACAAAACAATATTGTCATAGATGTATTAGCTCAGGGAAAAACATAAATCTCTTGTATAGATATAGTGATGCCAGTAAGAGAAAGATTGTTTCACACTTGGACATGAAGAATAATATATTAAAGCAGCAACTTATGAAACCATTATTGTGTTCTGGCATGTATAAGGGCTTGTATAATACAGATGTAAGACTGTCTTCATTGGTATTTTTTTATGCTAGTGTAATTCACATTTGCTATCCCACACCAGTGCAATCTATATCAGAGGAGTATTTCAAACTGCAATTAAAAGATTATGTACTTGTGTAACCAAATCTGATTTAAACCAGCATTGCTTGTGTAAGTTACTGCAATACTTAACTTTGCCACATCCATTAACCTGTGAACTGGCAGATCTGTCAGGACAAAGTTGGCCTAATAAAATAAGAGTGCATGGTTGCATTTCTGTCCATACATGAGTACACAACTTTAGACCACCTTTATGTCATCTATGAGACCACAGATGGTAATTGATTTGGGATAAATTTTGCTGACCATTAAAGCAAACCCATACAAGATTGAGGCAGTAACTTTTTAACATGATAATAAATATCCTAAAACCACATATGCAACAACAGCCTTTTGGTATTCTGACTCTACAGCAGTTACAGCAGAAAACACCCTTAAGTTGAGTCTTCTTTAAGCTTTTCTGGTTGAGCTCTGAAAACAGCTCAGCCAATTTCCTTTCTCTCTGTTCCATCTCACTCTTTTGTTGTTGTATCTGAAGCACAGATTATGAGCCATTCGGAGCTTCAGACCTCTCCTGTGTATCTTTGAAGGTCTTAGAGGAGTGTTACTCATCATATATACAACAATTACCATACCTCATAGTCAAACCAGGCATAGAAGGATGTAAATATTTTCCACAGGCAGTGGCAGAAGCAGGAGTTTATAGGAGGGCCTGGAATCCAGACTTAATTTGTACTCTCGGTGTAGCTTTTCAGACTATTCTTGCAGCTAAATTGTCTCCACATAGTGCTTGTTGCCAAAAGAAGCTCCTGTGCTGACAGCTGACTAAAAGGTTTTGATGTATTTTTGCTTTAGATACAAGGCAACTTGGCTATATGAAAATTGCAAGTAAACAATAAAACCTTTTGAAAAAAAGCTTTACTTCTGACATTGGCAAGAATGACAGTGGAATCTAATAAACATTACCATAGATTCACTTTAAAACTGAATCCATTGTACCACTAACTTGTAAAAGATATTCTCTACCTAGAACTTCGTTCATGCAACTTTTTTCCTTCCTTTCCTGTCTTCTGGCAGTCTTTTTTCTGGTGTTTTTAAGCAACACAACAGTTTGGTAGTGTTTTTCAGAAGATGTATTTTCAGTCGGGGAATAGACTGTTCCAGGAAAATCCTCAGCAAAAAAATGCATATTGCTTTATTTAAAAACAGGATTAATGGAATCTGATATACCACTGTGACACCTACTCAGCTTGTTTCTTTCCCATGTCTTTCAGGTTATTTGCCTTTCTTTTAAAGTTTCATTAATACTGCTCCAAAACCAAACAGAAGAAGAAATGAGAAAGTTACCGGGAAAATAAAACCAAACAGAACCTTTTTTTCTTTTTCTCCCAAAGGGAATGGGTCTTATAAATCATGTCTTCAATGCAGACAGCCTGAAGAAGCTGTACCCTTCAAACCTTGGTATTGGGCACACAAGGTACTCCACCTCAGGAATTTCTGAGCTGCAGAACTGCCAACCTTTTGTCGTAGAGACTCTTCATGGGAAGATCGCTGTGGCACACAATGGGGAGCTAACTAATGCTGCACAGCTCAGGAGGAAGGTTAGTACTTCCTTTGGGAGGTTCTGGCGTCATTTCTTTCTGAGTGTGAGGCATCAGTGAGCCATAAGGTTGCTGTGACTCTTCCTTAATACTAAACTGTTTGGGGTAAGGAAAGAGTACCCTAATCAGAATAGATCATTTTGTGGGGAAAAAATCCTGTGCGGGGGATTCCGTCTTGATATCCCTTTCTGGATCTGCCATAGGCAATTTCATATATTCCCTCTTATGTTTTATCTCTCTTCCCAGAGCATGCACAAAGCTAATTAAATGCCCCAAACGTGAATTTGTGCCCTGAATTTTGGTGGCATTAGTTCTGGTTGCATGTGGAGCAAAGGAATGAGATGAAAAGGGAAAAATTTAGTACTAGTGTAGATGATTGTACTACCTAGTTTTACTAGTTGGTTTGGTGGAAGAAACTTGGCATTATTATGATAGGATAAGCTGAAGCACTGATAAGTTTTAAAATATTTGTTCATTGCACAAAGGTGTTGTTAGATGAAAATCTGAGCAGTGTTATGTGAGGGTTTTTTAAATGTTGATAACACTTTTGGTTTATGTCTTAAAAGCTTATGCGGCATGGTGTAGGACTGTCGACCAGTTCTGACAGTGAACTGATCACCCAGCTGCTGGCTTACACACCTCCTCTAGAAAATGATGACACAGCCGACTGGGTAGCAAGGTGAGGAGAATGGCTCTCAGAATCAAGAACAGCAATTTGATCTTGGCATGATATGCAGCTGTAAATGCACACAGCTGTTCACATGACACAAAGTTATGTTCACCTGTGTCTCATTTCAGAATAAAAAACTTAATGAAGGAAACTCCAACTTCATATTCATTGCTAATTATGCATAAAGACATAATCTATGCAGTACGTGATCCATATGGGAATCGCCCGCTCTGCATTGGTCGCCTTATTCCAGTAGGGGACATGAATGGAAAAGGTAAACCACATATATATGGATATATATCTTTATCTGTATATCTCCATATGCCTATACATAGTTTGTGTGTGAAATCACTGGTATAAGTAATTAAAGCTATACTTACTGAGCTGTAGGTAGGAAGTCAGTTTTGAAAAATCAAACCAAAAAAAAAGTTGGTAAGGGAAAAAAAATTTGTAGGAAGTCTGCAAAATTCTGTTCCCAGATAAAGGGAATCCTAGTGGCCTGGTGACTGCCACAATTAGGCAGCCCAGGTGTAATACAATATTTATGAAAATTTAATTAAGGTCTCATCGCTTAAACAGGAAAGCAGGGATGAACAGAAGGGTTGAGGTTGGAAGGGGGTTCTGAAGGTCACTGGGCTAAATCCCCTGCTCAGACAGGTCCACCTAAAGCCAGTTGCTCAGGATGATATCCAGTCCAGAAGTAAGTGTGGTTTCTTCCTTTCTCCTATAGTAAGTAAGGTGGGCAAAAAGTGCCAGATTGCTCACAATGTATTTCCGAATTCCAAGCACCCAGCCACATGTAATACAGTAATGGAACACTATGCAATCAATTTATGCGTTCCTGTTTAGCTTGCAAATCAACATTTTCTCTTAAGTGAGATTAAAATATCTTAATTTGTTTAAAACTAAAATAATTAAAAGACTAAGTAGTAAATGCTTCCATATCTTCATAAAACTGGGTAAGTTTAACCACAAGAAAAATTACCAGGATTTTTTAAAGCATACAAACCTTCCTACCCTACATAACACAATTTGATCTTTCCTGTGCTTGCCTCTCAAAAGTCTCCTTATTGGAATTCAGTCTAGGATCCATTGTGTTCAAAAGCATCTTTCTATCAATGCATAGGAAAAGTAACAATTTTCTTGTATGAACAAAATAAGTATGTATATCTAAATTTACTGAACTAGAATTGGAAAACTTTGAAATAGTGCAGGGATAACAGAGGTAGTTACCTGAACTGTCTCTCTTCATGAACTGTGAATATGATGCTGTTACTTCCACTTCTGCCCAGTACAGGTTTAGGATGTTTATGTTGTGGATTTGCTTGGGATTTTTTAAAAATAATATTACAGAAACTGTGAAATGCTTTACCTTTTAGTTAAAAATTACAGTGGTCTTTAACTGGACACTTAGCAACCTAAACCATAGCAAGCCAGATCTGCAACAGAAATGCAGTTGTGGGTGGTCATAGTAGCAAGAACTGGGGACTCTAACTGCAATCTTTAATTTCAGGAAAAGATAATACTGAAACAGAAGGATGGGTTGTCTCATCTGAATCCTGTAGCTTTTTGTCTATCGGTGCAGAGTAAGTGACCTGATTCTCACTTTGTCTGAAAGCTCTCCTCAGGCAGTGATTAAACATTAAATATCAAATTGCCAAATAACATAATTTATAACAACATGAAAGACATCAAGGATTAGTTTGTTGTGGATGATTTTTTGCCAGTCCTGGTTTTTGGCAGTTTAAATTTAAATTTTCTTGAACAGATGATTGTAAAAGAAGAATTATATGTGCAGAAAGTAACAGTAAAGACAACTTTATTGTTGCAAAGTAAATGTCTCCTACTTGTTGCATTATGTCTGGTTATCCATACAGATTATTCATTTTAGCCTCATTTGCAGCAGCATTGTTGTATTACAAAATAATTCTTTAACTAAAAAAAAGTTACACTGCTAGTTCACAGGCCTAACTAATGAGCTGTAGCATATGCTGATGACTGGCCTCCTTGTCAGAAAAAAATTAACCGTTTTCTGAAACTTCTTCAAAATCTCTGTTAAGAGAAGCTCACCACGTAGGACCATCAGCTGAAACATATGGGTTTTTAAAAAAGCAATTTTGTCTAAACTTCTGCTGTAGCCAGTGCTGCTGTCTGCTGCTGCTCCTGTCTGACCAGTGAATAAACACAGATTTGCTCACCTCTGATTTATATCTCCAGGATATATTTTGTGATAGATGTAGATTGACTTTGTTAGAATATCCACCTGAGGACTCACTAAGCATCTAGAAAAATGTTTCATAAGGTTGAACACTGTAACATAATAAACCTACTACTATTCTATATTTCTTCAGATTTGAGAATTTGACTGTACATTTCTAGTCATCTCTCCGTCATTCAGGTGTAGCTGTCTGTCATCTCTAGAGAGATATTTCTCTAGATTTAGCTTGTGAGAGGATTCTTTTGTCTGATTATATTTCTTATATTGCATTGTAATATTTATTAGCTCTCATAGGAAAGCTCTAAAGTATTGATTCAGGACTATATGATTAGAATATATTCAATCTCAATTAAGCCTGTACTCTACGTCTCACATATAGGATGAATAACATAATTCTCCAGCACTAAGTATTAATTTAGTGCTTTTGGATATTAATTCAGACTGTTTTAGTAAGGGTCACTTGTCTTAGAATGTTAGTCTTCAAATTCTCCAGGTCAAATCTTAAGATAAAAACAAATTGTCATATTAGGATGTTCAAAAGCATATTTTCCTGTCAGTTGACTCTTATTTATACTTCAAAATTATCATCCACATTTAGGACATTTCTAACTGCTGTGTATTTCTTTTTCAAGGTACTATCGTGAGGTCCTTCCTGGAGAGATTGTGAAAATATCCAGACATGATGTCCAGACACTGGATGTTGTACGAAGACCTGAAGGAGATCCATCAGCATTCTGCATCTTTGAATATGTTTATTTTGCAAGACCAGACAGTATTTTTGAAGGTATGAAAATGTAATGTACAGAGCTCCTCCCTAAATAGTGGAAGATGTTATCCTGGAAGACATGTGGAAATTACCTGCTATCACAGTAGGGTACCACTGAATGTAAGCTTGCAGAGCACAGCTGGGATAGAATGGGTTGGCAAAACTTTTGAGATAAAACTCATCAGGAGAAGAAAACTGGATTTTAATTCTATGTAATGATACAAATGTGAAATGCTGGACTATGACAGTATAGAAGGAAATAAAAAATGACCTTATGCAGGTGACTGCTTATCAGTTCTGGAGTTTTTCCTACTAACTTCTATGCCTGCAACTTGCCACAGAAATTTGTACAGCAAACTGAGAGGAAATCTGAATTATGCATACCAAGAAAAACACTTCTTCCTGTTCTTAGGTCAGATGGTGTATTCAGTCCGGAGAAGATGTGGGCAGCAGCTTGCTATTGAAGCACCTGTGGAAGCAGACCTGGTCAGCACTGTTCCAGAGTCTGCAACCCCAGCAGCTCTTGGTTATGCTCAAAAGGTATGTTACCTTTTTTTTTCCCTCCATGCATGTTTACACATATCTCTTTTTGTAATGCACTGTGATGATATGGGCTGCTAGAGTTGTGTATTGATAAAGCTTTATATCTTCAGTATGCAGGGTACTCCTGTTGAGTCATCTGCCTTGTTTTTTCTCTCATTATTCCTTTATGTTAAGGTATTTAAACATTTTTTGGTTACCGTGAAGTCATACTAAGTCCTAAGATTGATTTAAAAAAACAGTAACTGAGAATAACAAGTCCTTATATATTAATTCTGTTTAACTGTCTCCTGTTTGCAGTGTGGACTACCGTACGTTGAAGTGCTCTGTAAAAACCGATACGTAGGGAGAACGTTCATCCAGCCAAATATGAGGTTACGGCAGCTTGGTGTTGCAAAGAAGTTCGGTGTTCTGTCTGACAATTTTAAAGGCAAACGAGTTGTTATCATTGATGATTCAATTGTGAGGGGCAATACCATTTCACCCATAATAAAACTGCTGAGAGAATCAGGAGCAAAAGAGGTAAGGTAATTTTAAGTCAGTACAATACAGATGTAATAGAAGTTGATGGGAGGGTAAAGCACAGGGGTTTGTCTTAATTTGTACTATACATTGCTTCCTTATTTAAAAGGGCAGGCGTGGAGAAAAACAATGGCTACTGCATTTTTATTGTGGTGATAGGTTAAATAGTTTCTTTTTTATGACTGTGACTTTTGGGTGATTAAGGCGAGAGGAACAGGTCTCCACTTAAAAAGCACTATGTGGCAAACAAAAAGAGAATGGAAAACATTAGTTACGATCAGAAAACCAAGTATTTCTGATGTGTATCTTGTGGACCTGCATAAAGCACAACCACATACTGCTGTAAATACCACATGCCCTAAGTTACCAGAGCACCATTGCTTTAATTGGTAAAGATTTTTTAAGGGAAACAAAGTGTGCAAGACAATCACTGGAGCAAAAATGTTACATAAAATGGTTGACTTTGTAAACTGAAATTTGTGCATCAAAGACTGAACACTGCAGAAGAGAAGCAAAACCAGGATGGAACCTTTTCAGAACATCAGGAAATACTGTAAAAAATAAGTTCTAAAACTGTCTTTCTTTCTCCTCCTGTCTTGGCATCTGAAAAAACTTATATCTTACTTTTAACCCTTTGATAATTTCTGTGCAGTGCTGTGTTCTGTTCATTATCATTTGCAGAACTGGGACTTTGGTATTGTGGTATTATCTGCTGTCATCTTATACTACAGTAGTCTATTTTGAAATTATATTTTTATTCAGGTGCACATCCGTGTGGCTTCACCTCCCATAAGATTTCCTTGTTACATGGGAATAAACATTCCAACTAAAGAAGAACTCATTGCCAACAGACCTGAATTTCGTGATCTTGCAAACTATATAGGTAAATGTTACTTGGTTTTTTTGTTGTTTTGTTGTTGGGTGGTTTTTTGGTGTTTTTTTTTGAGAGAAAGTTTTCACCTATAGGTATTTTACAGTCTACTTTAAAATAAAGCCCAACACAGCAAGGCAATAGTAGCAAAAGTGACTAAAAAATTGCAAGGTTGATAAGCTAGGTCTCTGCTTTGTGAGTGCCTTACAGATCAAACCAATTTAGCTACACAGTTTTTTAAACAGAGTTAGGGAGCTGTATTTCTCAAAACAATGGTAAGTATTAAAATAATTGCATAAGCATAAGTTACAAATAAAGTATGACAACAAAGCTCTCCAATACTTAAAGCTCCTTCCAGGAACCTTCACAATAAGGAGTTACAGGAAGAAAATAGGTCCGATAATAAAAAGCGGCTGTAGTTTCACTTTCATGAGATACTCACAAAAATATGTTCAGAATTTGTAAACACCCACTGATTTTTCTACAAATTTAAATTTATGTAAATAATTTTAACTGCTTTATATATTTCACTTTGAAAGAAATGACATATGAAACCAAGCAAAGAATGTTGAAAAACTTCTCAAATTTCGAGTCACGTTTGCAGCAGAACAAAAGAAGAATTAACAGTTTATGTTTCACTGTAAACTCCAATTTCTTGTGTTAAATATTTACTGTCACTGTCTAATACCCCAAACTATTGTGAAGGCATGCTGAAATATTTCAAGTTTGTAGGATCTCATTTTTAAGTGTTATTCACCACATAATGACTGCAAATTATAGAAAACTAATGATGTATCAAACTTTCCTACTGCTAGAAAATTTGCATGAACTGCATAATGAATTTTTTTGAACATATGATCGTCCCCTCCTCCAAGTCCCAGTGAGGTTTTGTAGTTCGTCAGTGCTCAGATTTGGGAAGCAGTAGCCACACACAGTCTGCTTCCAGACCTGAACTAGGGTCACTCTGGGACCCTGCAGGGAGTTTAGTGAGTCTTAATACTGGACTTTGCTTCTGATTCTGCAGTATTTGTGATGTGTTTGTTCACAACTCAGAACATTCTGTCTAGATTTCAGTGAGTTTGCTCCCTGCACAAAGCATTTGAGAAGGGCAAGGCACATTATGATCTGATAATTTTTCAGTCATTCTCTTTTGGTAAGGTGATCCACCTGGCATCATAATCCATATGATAATGCTACTGAATTTCCAAAGAGCATTGCATTTGGTACAATATTGCAGCTTTAAACAATGAATTCTTTATTTCCTCTAGGAGCAGACAGTGTTGTCTATCTTTCTGTGGAAGGGCTGGTATCATCTGTGCAAGAAAGCATCAAAGAAAGACAAGAGAACAGCCCTAAAAGCCAGAAGTCATTTATTGGGAAGATTGGTCATTGCACAGCATGTCTTACTGGAGAGTATCCTGTAGAGCTAGAATGGTGAATTTTTAGTGGATGGACATCAGTTCATCTCTTGTTGAATGTACCTTTTTCAATGATGCCTTCTTGCTAAATAGCCTCCTTGCATTTAGATAATACAGAAACCTTGTTACAGCTAACTAATTACTGTTACTAAAACACATCTTTAAGTAAAGACTTACAGGAAGTCTTACGTGCTGATGAAAACAATGTAAAAAGATTAAAATACAAAATCATGTAGTTTTGATGCACATTTGTGCCTTGTATTTTCTCACAAAATGCTATAAAAACCAAAGTTTTTTTTAATTATGTAGCAGTCCCAGAGTTTGTTGCTTCAGTCTTGCCCCGAAAGATAGCCCCGTTAGACTTGTTCGCAAATCATGAATTGTGTGGTGTAATTTCAAATTACCTTAATGCAAAAGCATCCAAAGTTTGCTTTTCTCCTTAGGAAAAAATACCAGATTCTGAAGAATCAAATTGCTTCCTCAGCAGTTCTTGCTTAGACTTTTTAAGAATGGAAGTACCTAACTTTTGCATATATACCTAAAGAGCCTTTATTAATCGAGGCCTTTGTAACAGATTCTATGCACATAATGTCTAACATACAATTTTAAAAAATGAAGACTCAGGGAAATGCTCAGCCAAAAGCTCTCTAGTTTTGTAATTCTAAAATTCTTTTTTTAGAAGTCCAGTGTAATTATATTATCTCTCGTGTGCTTTTTTCAGTTGGCAATACAACATGGAAGGAGAAAAAAAAATACTCGGCACTGCCTTTCTGTTTTCTGTTTTAAATCTTGTGTTCTCCAGGATAAGTCCTGACAATTTCTGAAGTCTGAGCTAATGCTCAGTGTACTTTTCATGTGTCCTCTTTTGCTACATTACTGCTGTTAGAATAAATGTAATGTTTGAAAAAAACAAGTGTTCTGAAGAACCTGTAGCTGTTACATGCATTGTGTTCAGCTGATCACGATTACACGGTTGCTTGTATGCAGGAAGGTCACTTGGACAATGAACCACTAGCTGAAAATGGAAAAGCACCTTTTGAAAACTATTGCAAATTTACGCACAATTGTAAAAATATTTTGTATACCTCATTTTTTTCACTGAATATCAGCAACTTAATTTTAGATTTTCTATTTAACATTGTGTACTTTGGCCTTATAATTGTTTGTGATGCTGTTAAAAAAAATAAACAGAAAAGTTTAAGAGCTTTTTCCTTCCCCATCATCTTCCACAGAGTTGAGAATTCCATTATTAGTGATTAAATTCAGAAGGGAGTTTTCTCAGGTGGGATTTGTGGCAATTGTGCCTGATAGACAATCACAACACAAAAGTGCTAGTTAGAAAAAGAATATAAATACATTTAATGAAGTCAAGACTGTGTCTTGCACAGTAGAATCAGAACCTACTTGCAGTCAAGCCCATGGGAGAACTGAGATTTGATGAGTACTGGGCTTTTACTGCGCATTCTTCACCAGAGCCCAGGTCTGCATATTCAGGGGATTTATGTGGATCTCTTCTAATTACCAAGTTTGGTTTTTTAACAGAAACATAACAGTTCATCTGGACAGCAAATTGAACAAAACCAGAACAGGCTGGATGCTGATCCCCCTCTTCCAGGGTAACCAGGAAGGAGTATGAGAAAACAGAAAAACTGTTAGCAACATTTTTCACTCTTCTTCTTTCCTGCCCCCCCCAAAGAACAAATATTTTTTAGAAGAAGAGATCAGTTGAGCCCTTAGGTTATAAATATGTGTGAGAAGCCCTTTCTACTTGAGATAAACACTTGGGTGCGTAGTTTAAGAAGGCTACAAGCAGAAGTCTGTCTGAAATTGTCCATAGGACAGACTGTAAGTGAAACTTGTTCAAATACTCTTTCAACATGCTTTCAACAAAACTGTTACTTTTGAAGTCCAATAATAATTTCTTCAATGTGATTTGAGCATTGGGTGGTATAAATCTGGTTTTAAAAAGAGTCCTATTGTCTTTTCCCCCCTCCATGCTAGACATGTGAAGTTCTGACTGCTAATGTGAGCACTGTAATTTTTAGATGCACTACATGCCAAATCTTTAACTTAGTGTCATTTTATTCTGACAGCTGGATTTATGCCTCAGGTTACCAGGCCTTTTTGATCACATACAGCCAACACACACGCACCAGTGAGTATGCTCAAGGAGAAAACTGGCTTTAGGTGTTGCTATTTGTATTAATGTTTTACTGTTAAACCGTTTCTGCTGTATTACCAATGTGCAACTATGCCAAACTATCACTTAACGGAATGTGACAAAACAGTGGAAAGCTAATGTTTAACTTCTTCCCTGCCTAACATTAAAAATGGTTGTGAACTGGTCTTCTCGTTCTCTCTCCCTTTGCGGGGCTCGCTGGCAGCACACACAGAGGCTTCTTTAATAAAGCCATCTTGAAAGCACCTCGGAGCCAGAGCAAATCATTTACTGTGAGAGTGCTGAGACATTAGAAGGGGTTGCCCAGAGAAGTTGTGGATGCCTCGTCCCTGGAGGTGTTCCAAGGCCAGGCTGGATGGAGCTGTGGTCTATGGGAGGTGTTGCTGCTCGTGGCAGGGGTTGGAACTAGATGATGATTAAGCTCCCTTCCAACTCTTAACGTTCTATGATTCCATGATTCCAGGCCACTACCCGTGCCCCCTCCCAGCACGGCTCCTGCTCCCGTCACTCTCACTCCTTTGTGGCGGCCCTAAGTCTCAAACCATGTGGGAAAGTCTGACCCCGACCACCGCCGCTGGCTCCGCGGGAAGCCGATCGGGGGCCGCTGTCAGAGGCTGCTCCCGGGGCCGCCCGGGCGAAGCGCAGATCCAGGGCTGCACCCCCGGCCCCACCCGGCCTTGACATCCTTGGCCCCACCCGGCCATGACACCCCCGGCCCGCCCACGGGGTACCGCCGACAGGGAGGCCCGTACCACCTCCTGCGGCGGGGGGTACGGACACAGGCCGACGGAGACGAGTGAACTCTGAGCGGAGCGGCGGAACCTTTCCCTTCGCCACAGCCACCTGTGATTGTCTTAGCCCATATCCCATGTCGGCCGGGCAGCTGGGGACTGGCGCGCCCGCTGTTCCTCCCTCCCTCCCTCCCTCCGTCTCCCCCTCGGGAAGTGATGGCACCGCCCCGCGTGGGACTCAGGCAGAACGGGCGGTACTTGTGGATGCCCAAACGGCGCGACGGCCGCTGGCCAATGAGAGCGCGGCCTTACCGGGATCCAGCCAATCGGAGGCGCGGCCTCGGGCGGGGGCGGGGCCGGGAGGTGTCGGAAGTGCTCCAGGTGGGATCCCGCGGAGTCACGGGAGCCACCGGGCCGGACCTATCCCGAATGGAAACGGGAAATCCTGGAAGGGACGGGCGGGAGCACAGCCCAGAGCGTCCGGTCAGCCGTGCGGGCGAGGCGGGGGTGCTCGGGGGAGAGACGGGCCGTGCAAAGTGCAGAGCCTGGGCAGTCCACGCGTCGTGGTTTCTCTTTGCAGAGGAAGGATTTGTGTTTCGCTGTTCCACTGAAAGAGTTATTAATTAATTAAGTTTTGCTAATGAAGATGCTAGTTAAGTGGTGCCCTGCTTTAAAAATAAAGGTGTAACGGTGAGGAACAAACTACCTCTGTACAATGAGGCCTTAGTGAATTGCTGTATTGATGGGCTTTAGGATAAGACTTATGGCAAATGAGTCAAGAATTCAGCTTTACACGATTGCAGTCTAAGGTGCGATAGAGCTGTGTGTTCTCTGCCATGAATCTTTTATTTTTCTTCTGTCTTGGTAGTGTTTCGTGTGCATTTATAATTTGGCTGAAGTATTAAAAGTGAGGAGGTGACAGTGCATTCTGGTCTGTTATTCTTCCAGGGGAATTGGAGCTGTGCAGCGGGGATGACGCTTCAGGAGCTGGTGGCTCAGGCAACCAGCCTGCATTCGCATAGAGCAGCAGTTTGGTTTGATGAATGCACCGGGAAACCTCCAACTTTCCACACCTACGCCACAGTGGTTGAGCTGGCCAGGGAATTAACAGCTTTCCTTCAGAAGCACTGTGACCAGCAAGGCAAATGTGAAATAGGCCTTTACTGCTATCCAGGAATAAACCTGCCATCTTGGATCTTAGGGTAATGGTTTGAGCGTTTACGATGTGTTTTGGGTTTCTAAGGGTCACCTCTATTAAAAGCAAATTTTACAGTTTGTTTAGATTTTTAGTAACAACAAAAACACAGTAATACCGCAGTAGTGCAGCATTCTTTAAGGAGAAGGATAGCAGTATTACAATCTTTTGAAAAGCCACCGCTGAAATCTTTTTGAAACAGCTGTCACTGCCGAGTAGCTGACTGAGGAACGATGAAGGGCAGGTTTAGGTGCTCACTAACACGAGTGGCTGTTCAAGCATGCAGAGTGCTGCTGTTTCCATGTCTCCATTCGAGGTCTCAGCATTACTGCAGTGACAAACAGCTTGTACAAAGAGGAAGTGTAACTAATTGTGCATACAGTACAGAACCCAGCAGTAGGAGAAATGTGAAGACTTACAGGGACTGTTCATGTTTCAGTGGCTGCGCACTCGCCTTGGCTTTTTCTGTGGTGGTAACGAATTCCAGGGCTTGTCATTATCCAAGGGCGCCGCTAGAGGTGGGCAATGAGCAGCTACAGGACAGGGAATGGGAGCACAGAGGTAGCTGGTGCTCCACTTGGTTTTTAGGGAAGAAGTTCCAGTTACATGCTCAGATTTTCTTAAGCTGTTTAGACTCGTGGTAGAGTGTTTTCAGCGTGCAGGCTTTTGCAGTTTTTTAAAATGTGTTCCTGCTTGTTGTATATGTATAAATGAAAAGCTTATTTTTCATAGAATCATAGAATGTACAGAGTTGGAAGGGACCCATCAGGATCATCAAATTCAACTCCTGGCCCTATGCAGGACACCCCAAGAGTCACACCATGTGCCTGAGAGCATTGTCCAAATGCTTCCTGAACTCAGACAGGCTTGGTGCTGTGGCCACTTCCCTGGGGAGCCTGTTCTGGTGCTCAACCACCCTCTGGGTGAAAAACCTGTTCCTGATATTGAACCTAAACCTTCCCCAATTCAGCTTCACACTGTTTCCTTGAGTCCTGTCAGTGGTCACGAGGGTGAAGAGATCGATACCTGTCCCTCCACTTCCCCTCGTGAGGATATTGATTTCCCTTCCTAGGCAGTAGCAGAAAGTTTTAAAATGTGGTGCTGTTGATGTCAGTGATACTTTTGTCATCACTTGGCCAGAAATAATATTGAATGTTTTCATCTAGCTTTCATTTTTCCCTTGCTGCAAAATACCAAAAGGCAACACTGATTATTCATCCTGCTTTATTACCAAAAAAATCCTTAAAAGTCATAACATGAGTACATTTTCTAGCTCAGCCAACTATAAAAGTTCAAGAAATATTAGTGAAAATGAAGAGGATTTTCTTACTTTTTTTAAAAATAAGTTTAAAACATTTATGTCTTCTTAGAATCCTTCAAGTTCCAGCTGCCTATTCACCTGTTGATCCAGATGCACCACCAACCTTATCCACTTACTTCATGAAGAAAACCAATCTGCAGTATATTCTTGTTGAGAATGACAAAATAAATGTAAGTTTTCAGGCTTCTATGGGAAGCAGTAAAGAGCACTTTTGTTATGCAGATATTCAGATTGTATTCTGTTTTAATAAGTTTGGGTGGGGTACTTCTGTTTCTTCATGCCAAGAGGTAGTTTTTCTCATTCAGAAAAGAACATCTTTAAAATTAGAAGTATGAAGTGCTTCTCCTCCTCTTCAGAAAGATTACCACCTTTTCTGTTACACTGTTGTTCAGGCAGGCTTCTTGGGTACCAGCACTGGAAGACTTTTCCAGACTTGCCTCTTCATATGGCAGAGTTAAGAGCTGGAAATCTGCAGTAGTTCAAAAAAACTCCTGCATTTAATACTTTAGTTTCTTTTTGTCCAACTCCTCCCAGATTTTATACCCTCACTCATTGCGAAGGGAATAAACAAGATTGGACCATTTAGTTATAATTCAGAGTCATTTGTCTTCTGCAGCATTCTTTTGTATATTTTCCTTTTCTTTTTCTTGCTTAGAGAATTGTTTATTTCACATTTATAAAGTCTGTGTCTGCTCATATTTTATATATAAAAACACACGAGCTTAAAACTGTCTGATGTGTGTCCTCCAAAAGTAGAGGCATAAAAAATCACTGGTTTTTTGTGTGAAATGCTTTTCCCTATTTCATTGCATACAATAGAAAAACAACAGTGCATCCTGAGTTCTGCTGTTTGAATTGTTTATTTTCTCTTACAGAAATTCCAGATGTCCCATGTTGGATATTTTTCCCATGATTCTTCCACAATAGAACATATTGGTTTAACTCTCTTCCAAATGAGCTTGAGTGACACTGATTTAAATTCACAAGCTGATGATGTGAAAAGTAAATGTGAACCTTTCAAAGCTGTGGGTAACTCACAGCCAGGATATACCGTTTGTCCAGATCAAACCAAAGTAAAAACATCAGAAGGAGGATCCATGGACGTCGGACAGAAAGACACTTTAGCGTATGTCTTGCATACATCAGGAACTACAGGGATCCCCAAAATAGTCAGAGTACCTCATAAGTGCATAGTGCCAAATATTCAGCATCTTAAGTAAGTGTGTTTTTCACTTTTCCTTTCAAATGCTTTTACAAATTTGATGTTGAGGAAATGTTTTTATTTTTCTTTTAATATTTTAGAGGAATGGAGGTGGGGTTTTTGCTAGCACAGCTTCACTTCTTCCTCCTTCCCTACCTTTTTAGATTTATTTGTATTTTTTTATTTTGTTTCTAAATAGAATCATTTTACATTTTGTTTAACTGAGGGCTGTGTTTCAAATAATATGCTGTTGTAAGTATTCTGGCTTGTGGCTTACAAGAAACAGATAACATGAATTAAGATAGATAACAAAATTAATTACTTGTTCACAGTTATATTCACTGTGTTCTGTTGGCTTTTAGTCCTAATTCCTCTTTAGGCTACCCAGGTTTCTTTCTGCTTCTTTTAATACCTAAAAAAAAATTATTATGGAAAATACCACCTTTTTTTGTTTCTTTTCCTTTTTTTTTTCTTTTTAAACATGCATCTGTTAATTGAAATATACCTCTCAGTGAATTGTATTGGTGTGTAACATGGTGGGTATCCTTGTAGATGAAAATTAGTTAAATCAACAGTTACAGTTCAGGAGCTCTTGCTCAAATTACCTGGCCTGCATACACCTATTTGTTCAGGGCAGCCTTTAAAATCTGAGCTTTGCTAATATGTATTTCTTTCATGCTTTCATTCTTCTAGTTTGGAAGTGGTTTCTGAAGGCATGC